CACCCGCACCCCCCTTCCCCGGCCACGCCCCCACGGCCCCAGCACGCCTGAGCCTCTGCCTCCCGAGGAGTCGCTGCCAGCAGCTCCCAGGCAAGGCATCTGGATGCGAGAGGGCAGGAAGGCACAAGGGAAGGAGACAACTCCCTCCTCCAGCCCCTGCGGCGGGGAAGAATCCGTCCCCTGCCAACTCCGTACTTTGTGTGCCAAGGGCTGGCATCGTCCCTCACGTTCGGCGCGGCGGCAGCCAGGAAAGCCTCGTGCCTCGCATCTCCTTTTCTCCCAACAGGCAAAGATCAGCTCAGTGCAGCTCTCGGGAGCACCGTGACCCCAGAGACAAGCAGCAGAGGCGAGTCTCATTTGAGCACAAATTGAGCAGAAGCCAGCGGGCAGGAGGAGCCAAGGCTGCTTACAGAGACTCTAATTAGAGCAAGGAAAACAAACAGAGCAGGAAAACAGCACCATGGAGAAGAGGGAGCAGGGAGCCAGGCCCCCCCAGGGCCCAGCAGGGCAGCGTCTGGGCAGGCAGCACGGCGCAGGGGCCGCGCGTGGCAGCTCAGCTCCCCGAGCCAGGTGGCACGAGGCCACGCTTGCCTCCCTCCCTGTTCAGGATTAACTGCTTGTGGCTTATGCAGTTCTGACCCCTTTCAGAAGGCATTTGAGTTTTTCCAAATAGCCTTGTGGGGGCCATTCTGAAGACCCCGAAGGCTCCCTCTGCTGCCCCGGTGGGCAAACAGGCTGGGTTTCCCCTGTCACCTGCTGCGACTGGGAAACAACCACGTAGAATCATCCCGTAACTACCAGAAAAATCTGAATTGAGCCAGGAAAACCCATCTGCACGGGGAGCTGAACGTCTGTTTGCCATCAGCCACCCCTGCAGAAGTGGTACGGGAACTGGAGCACATTCCCCAAGAGCTCATCCGAAATTCGGCACTTGTCTGGCTCGGTGACCGTGTGCGAGGTCAGGGGACAGCCCTCAGGACATGGTGCCAGACGAAGCTGCACAGGGGTGCTGGCAGCTGGAGCCCTGCCCGCCCCAGCCCCGCTGCCCCCCAGCAGCCCCCAGCTCACCATGGGGATCCGGCCCCGCTTCAGGGTGGAGCGCAGGCGGCGGCTGATGCGCTGGAAGCACTCCTTGGGGGTGTAGGCAGGGTGCTCTGCAGCCGGCGGAGAGAAGACAGAGGGGGCTCGGACATGGCTCACGTCCCCATTGCCCGCAGCCACACGGCATCACTTCTCAGAAGGAGCCCAACATCCCCCACGGACCCCAGCTGGCCACCTCCTTCCTTCATGGATCTGCACAGTCACCCCCAGACCCCTCTCCAGCAAAGCAGCATTTGGAGGGTGCTGAGATTTGGGGGCTTGCAGTCAGGGGATGGCTGCCGTGCCTGTCCCCCCCAGCCACTCCCAACTCCCACAGACTCCCACGGGGGTCTGCCAGGCATAAACCCCACCACCGCAGCACCCCAGGGCTCGGCTCATCATCCTCCGGCCCCGCCACGAGCGGATGGCGCAGGGAGCAGGACGCAGCCCTCAGGGAAGAGCACCCTTCCCAAAACGCATGCAAGGGAGGAAAGGGAGAGGCTCTCCCCACCCGGTGTCCCCTCCCAGCACCTTTCCACTTGTCCTCGTTCTTGATGGGCAGCTTCCTCTTGTGCTTCTTCCTGGCCTCCTCCTCCAGATAGAGCAGGACTCGCTCTTGCTCTTCTCCCGACCGGTTCATGAAGTCATTCCAGATCTGACAACACAAGTGGCCGGGCCCCACTGCAGAGGTCAGCAGGGAGCACCCGGTGGCGCACAGCCACCCTCAGGGTCCCACCCGTCCCCCTGTGAGCCTCCTCCTCGCCCACCCGTCCCCACGAACGGCCCAGGCAGAGCAGGAACGAGCAGGGCTGGGCAGAGCTCTGCGGCCGTGACACTCCCCAGCCAGCACAGAGCCAGGCCACAGCGGACACAGCCGCAGCGGTGACAGCCTTTCTCTGTCCCTCCGCGGCCGGCCATTCCAGCTTGTAACAACTGCTCCGGGAGGAGATGCAGATTTAACAGTTGGAGCCAGTGTACAAAGGTGATTTTTTTAATGGCCACTGGGAGTGCTGACACAACAGCCCATGGGTGCAAGCCAGCCCCAAGCCCAGGTCTACATCAGCTCTGG